CACATGCATACACATGCAGCAAGGCTGCTCTGTAACTGAAACATGTAGGAGCAGGCTCAATTAATCAAGTCTGCTGGAGCATGGTAATTACTGTGCTCTAGCAGACTCCACCGTCCCATGTATCAGTGTCCCCACATTGAAAAATGGCAGCAGGGGTGCTTTAACTAAAGCTCATTCAATGAGCTTTAGTTTAATCACCCCCACTGCCATTTTTCAGTGTGGGGACACTGATACACATGATACTGGGCATTGCAATTAGAGCGGCTCTTGAAGCCTCTCTAAAGCACGCACCCACCCTCTCCCCACCTCCCAGAGTATGTGTATAAATGCTGACAATGCCCACAGATTACTGAAATCCCTGGGAGTGTGAACAAGTGAGGACTAGCATTTCTGATTCTTTGTAAACTGACATTTCCCACCTTTTCCCTGAGGGCCACTGCCTAGGGTTACTTTTTGAAATCTCTGCGATTTGCCTGAGGTTTGATTTAAACTGAGATTAAAGAGGGAGTCAAAAGTTTATGCTCCTCTAAACTAGTATTAAAATATCCTAACAGTGTGGATGAAATTCTAAAGTAGCTGAATACAAACCACCCCTCTCATGTGTACATCTACCAGCTGGAAACCTGACCCTACCTTTGGCATCTAGGTTTATGATAAGCTAAGAGGGTGAGCTGCTGATGTGAATGAAAACAGCTCTGGGCACTTGTTCATTGGTAGGAGCCACTTGCATCCCTTTCCTCTGGTATTTTGGCCACCTCTTCTCATACTTATCCTGTCTGTATTTTGGAGTTGAAAGCTGCGCAGAAAAGCTAGTGTTTTTACTTTGCTCTGTCAGCTCTTAGCCATTCCCCACATTTCTATTTAACTCATTCCAGCTTGCTTTGACTACTGAATCCCATCTGAGACTTGTACCAGAAAAATGGTCTTTAGCTGATATGTTTCCCATATGCTTAATGGGAAAGAAAAATTGATCTGACCTTTAACTTCACTTCCAGCAGCACCCTCATCACCACCCACACACACATTAGAGTCAACCAAAATGGATTTAAAAAATAAGGAGAATGGAAAGCTGCACAGAATCCTGCACTACTGATGGGATTTGGAGCACATCCAGCCCAGGGACTGGGGAGTGCAGCTCCCTCTGGAGTGCAGTGGTAAATACGATAAATAAACACACTTTTAAGGGAAAAAAGTTGGAAGGCTGGACTCCTCTTTGTTCAATTAATGAAACATGAACCAAGAGTTCCGTTTTCTTCTTGCAGCTAGCGGGACTGAGATGAAATCTCTCACTGCACAGACCCTGCCCTTGTCAGCATGATAGAATTTTAAGATCCTCTCCTCCAAAAATGCAGGGTTGGAACTAACCCATTCACTATAGCAGTGTTAGACTACACTAGCAAGACATGTGAAGTCTGAGCCAGTACCCAGTGAAGTCAATGGAAGCAGTGCCACTGGCTTCAGTGAGCACTAGAGCAGGCCTGGAAAGATCAGGCCAGTGTTTTTGTTCAGCAGAAGGCAGGGGAATTCATGCTGTTTACTCCGATCAAGCCGGAGACAGAGTTAGGGCTCAATGCACAGCAAGGTCTACAATTCCCAGCTCTGTTTCAAGCTTTAAGGAGGTTTGTTCTTGCAGGGCAAAAACAGCTTTTTCCCCTTAGGCCTCAACAGATAAAATGTCTTTTAGTTTGCACTTGGGGCTAAGCTCCACAGTGACGTACGTGGTGTCTTAAGTTACAGTTTAGCAAGGCAGTGCAAGTGTAAATTACATACCACCAGAGGGTCTGGCAGGGTGTAGCCGAAAAGGAAGCTGAAAGGATAGGGTAAAAGTTATAGCATGTGTAAAGAACGGCCTTCTTTACCTTTCACCTTCCTCTTGGACCTCATCAACATTTGGGAATTCAGCAATTTGTGGAGCTCAACCAGCAGTGACTTGTAAACATAGACAAGGGCATGCCAAGGTTTCCATGAACGGAGTAAACACGTCTTCCCTTTGCATAGTTAGCCAAAGTGGTGCATATACTAGGTTGCACTTAACTGCATTTTTGAGTCAGCATTGGCTTGGCCTGCTTCTGCTTAACTCGGTCCACTTCCAAGTGTAAAGGAAACCTCTATTTGCTTTTTCCAGCTCCAACTCTCTTCTGTACTTTTGGCATGTAAGTTACACCAATTTTCATGCACTTGCCAAAGGTTAATTTCCATCATCTACAAATCTGGCTCCTGAGTTGGATTTGCTCCTGTTTTTCCATTTTCCTTTATTTTAATCTTTTCTATATTTAAAGGACAAAATATTCAACAGAAATAAGAACAACATGAAAACACTTGCATCTCTGCAACAGGAAATTTCAGGAACGTGGGCACTGATATCAGAGAATCGTAGAAAAATAGGGCTGGAAAGGAGGTAAAAGTCATCTAGTCCTCCTTGCTCAAGGCAAGATCATCCTTTATACTGTATAAAAATTATACAAACAAAACTGAAAATATTCCACTCACCCCCTAGAAACCAATCAGTTTAACTGTGGAAAAATGTGCATTTTTTTCCTTTTTCAATAAAATATTTGCTGGTATGGTTCCATTGATTTCAATATAGCTCTAATAATTTAGAACATACATGGAATGGGTCAAATGAGATCTTTAATTCTCAACAGAATTTTCCCAATGGAATTAAGGGCCCAAATCCATACTGTGTTGAAATTATCCATTTATCATGGATTCTAAACATGATGCTCTTTCTCCAAGGCTACTGCTGCTCAGCCTGTCAACACATCCACTCTTCTAACATCTGAGCTCTAACTACTCTGTGTGTTTATTTTATAAACAACATTTCAGACCAAATTTAAAGGTGAAACTAAACACTAGGTTCACTTAACTTTTTCTGTCTTTGAGGCTTATTAGTACTGTATACCTGAACTGACCCCACAGCCAGTTTGTGGTACAGCAGTTGAAACACAGCAGTGCCAAATTATAGCATGCTTCAGCATCCCATAACATTAAACATTGCAGTGTCCTAGCAGACATTACTATGTTTAAGCAGGCTCTTTCCCATCTTCTTTGGCAGCTGTCACCCCCTTCCCCCCCCACTTGACATATGTGTTTTTAACTGTTCTCCATAAGAGAACATCCAACCCTTACAGAAAGGAGGCCAAATTGTGCTCTGTGACACTTGCTCACAGCCAGAATTTGGCTCAGGATCTGCCACTGGGCAAATCCCTACTAAGAAGAGAGTCACTAGACATTGCCCTCCATATTTGAAGGCCGGCCTCCCAGCTGTACCTGTCTTGTTGGTGCATCCAAATTCACTTGCAGCACTGAATAAAACTATGTAGGGAGAAGGGTTCCTCAGAGGGTAGGAACTCCCTGAAATATGAAGAGCTCTTCTAGTTTTTTACCTGAAACAACCAGTCCCCATGATCTATCTGCAGTCTGCATCAAAGCAATCTCTTGGCACTTCTTTTGGTGCATAAGCGGCTACCACACCCGGCCATGTGCTCTTATTCTTCCCAGCTACGTCCAATATTTGAGCTCATGCACAGATGTGACCAGCCCCAAGCACAGAATTCCAAGGGCCCCTGGTACCCACCCGACTGCACAGTTCTGGTAGCGCACAGTTATTTTTAGATGTTATGTAGCGTTGGTATCATGGTTTGTGCCCACCAATACTACATCGCTGTAGTGATGAGTTATGTTGCTGTAGCTCATTGCTATGGCGATGTAGTGTCTTGTGTAAATGTGCCCACAGAGCATTTAAGCTGACAAATCAGCCTGGACAAGTCAAGTTGGACAAATCAGCCTGGCTTCTATAAAGGAGCAGCATGTTGGAATTCTTCAAGGGAGTCAGCCAGTGGATAAAGCAGGACAAGATGTTATACTTTATCATGGGCTATGTTAATTTTCAAGTTATATTCAGTGTGAGAAGCCCTAGTAGTCAAGGGGGAAGAGGGAAAGTTCTGTCATGGATTAGAAACTGGCTGAAGGACAAAAAGCAAAGTGGAGGAATAAAGAGTCAATTTTTCATCATTTAAAGAAGATCCATATGGGCCATCCCATACATCTATAATAAAACTGTCATTACTAGTGATCCGAAGAGGAGGTGAACAGAGGCTGGAAAAATGGCAATTGACCAAAACATCTATGCTAATCAGAACCAGAAAAGACTTGGGGGGTACATGCAGAGGGACCTAACAATGCCTGGCAATCAGGGAACAGGGCAGAAAATGGAAATCAGTGCTACAAGATAAACATGAGGATGTACACTTGAAGGTACAGACTACTCCGTTCCCAATTAACTGTCAGCGCTCAGAAAAAAGGCACAAATGTAGCCGTGGACAGGTGGGGACAAACACCAGATGAATGTGCATAAGAAGTCAAATAAAACAAATTACAAGCCTGATTCTCAATTACTATGTTTCACCATTTGGCAAATAAAGGGGCTTTAAATCAGTATATATACATCATTTAGACACAGTTTAAGGTTCCTTCATATTACAAGAGCAATGTAAAATGGTTCTAGTATAAATAATAAATTGGACAAAGTTGTAGTTGCCTTTTGGCATGCTTATTATTAATTAATATAAAATAATTAATGATATTTGCATGAATTTCCTGTTACTAGAAAAGAGACACTGGTCTTACTGTCATACTAAGATTTGGCATTTATATGTGGCAGTGCCTTACACCTAAGAATCTCCATGCATTTCATTTTACAGAGTGGGAAACAGATAAAGGGAGTGTAAATGACTTTCCCAAGACTAAACAGTAACCGTGTTGAAAAGGTCAATAGAAAACTCCATGTTCCTAATACCCAGTCCTCTGTTGTAATCCACAGATAACAATACTTCCTTCACATCTACCAACAAAATAGTATAAAGTTTGCTCTTGTAGGATATGAGAGTGAATCCTTGAATTTTAACATTAAGCAAATATGATAATCGTTTCTCTGTAATAATGAAGCCCCTTGTTCAAGCAAAAACTACTTGGCATGGAATTGATCACATTTTACTTACCGTTGTGAAATGAACTACACAAAAGATTCCAATGATCACAAGGCCAATGATAATTGATGCAACAGCAACCCACAGTGCATTGCGACCTAGTCTTTTTGATCCATCTATGTCTCCTTGATTATAACTATTTAAAGCCTGCAGAACAGAAACAGAGAGTTTGTGACTATTGGTAAACAAAAATATACCCCATTTCAATTGGTTTCACCAGTAATTTAATTTCCTGCAATTTTGCAACACACAAAAGACTCCAGAAAACAGACCTTTACTTTATAAATATATACTTATACTAAGGGTTAAGTTACTAAGGAGTATGATTTACAACTTCTATGTTAACTCATTTTCAGGACTCACTCTTTGCTACTTCAGGTCATGATTCTACAGATGTTTCTCATGCTGCTTATACAAGTAGTCCTACTATAGTTATAAACAGGAAGAGTGTCAATTCAACTCTAATCACACTCATTGCTGTGAGCTAGTGACTTGCATCTTCCTAGAATTTTTTTTTCCAGCTTTATGTCAATTCTGATTTCATTCAGTGGAGCAGAAATTGAATTGCTTCATTAGCAACAAAATAAATACAAAAGCTAAAAGAAAACCAACCCCCCTCATTTATTGTTTGCATCCTCATTCCTACACTGTGTGCAACCATACGCACATGCATGCACATAGTGGCGATGTGTAGGGGGTGGACAAGGGTCCATGTGCACCCCCTGAGAGTGGTGGTGCACTCCCTGACAGGCCACACTCCCCGCTTAGGTGACGGGCAGATGGGAGCACTGGTGCCACCCGTGTGAGCACTGGCCAGGGAGTGAGAGTGCCAGATGAAGCACTGCGGCCACTTGTGGGAGTGCTGCGGACGTTTCCAGGTTGGCACGCTTGGCTGTGGGGGGACTCCCCCACCCCGGTGGGTGAGATTGGCTGCAGGGGACACCCTGACTAAGGTGGCACCAGTCACCCATGCATGCACACATAGATTTAATAGATTTCATAGACATTAGGGCTGGAAGGGACCTTGTGAGATCATTGGGTCCAGCCCCCTGCCCAAGGGGCAGGAAGTCAGCTGGGGTCAGATCATCCCAACAAGATAAGCATCCAAGTGTTTCTTAAGGTATCCAGAATAGGTGCTTGCACCACTTCTGGGAAGAATCTATTCCAGACTCTGGAGACTCAGATGGTAAAGAAGTTTTTCCTTATGTCCAGTGTTAAATGGTCTTCCAGCAGTTTGTGACCATTCAACCTTGTTTTCCCTCAGAATGCCCTGGTCAACAGATGTTCCCCCAGTTCCTGATGCACATCTCTTATATACTTATAGGCTGCCACCAAGTCACCCGTGAGCCTTCACTTCTCCAGGCTGAAGAGTCCCATGCCTCCCAGCCTCTCCTCATAAGGCCTGTTCCCTTGACCTCTAATCATGTGCATGGCTCTCCTCTGGACTCTCTCAAGCTTCTCCAACTCCTTTCTAAAGTGTTGGGCACAGAATTGGATGCAGTACTCCAGCTGTGGCTTCACAAATGCTAAGTAAAGTGGGAGGATGACTTCTTGGGTCTTGCTTGA